ACGACATTATTCACCGGAATTGTTTCAAATTTAGCATTTGAAGTTCGTAATAGATACTACAGCCTAAGACAGAAAATTATCTGTGCAGGTTCAAGTCTTCATATAGCCCCCATATAACGGTACCCCCCGATATTCGGTATTTTGATGATTTTAGCGGCATTATTTAAAGGAATCGTTCCAAATTTCGTATTTGAAGTTCGTAATAGATACTGCAGCATAAAACAGAAAATGGGCCATGTAGGTCCACGTCTTCGTATAGTCCCCATATACCGTACCCCCCGATATTCGGTATTTTGATGATTTTAGCGACATTATTTAACGAAATCGTTCCAAATTTGGTATTTAATGTTCGTAATAGATACTTCAGCCCATGTCGGAAAATTGTTTGTGTAGGTCCAGGTCTTCGTACAGCCCCCATATGACGGTACCCCTCATATTCGGTATTTTGATGATTTTAGCTACATTATAAACAGATTTTTCTTCAAGTTTCGCGTTAAATTTCATTTTGGCATACTTATTTTGAGGTCCAATCTGATCGTACGTGCCAAATTCCATACTATTCGGACTAATATTACAACTTTGGTGCACAATGAAAGGCAAATCGGACGAAGATATATATATCTAAATTTTGACCGACTATCGCCAATTTCAATAGGGTTCGTCCTTGGGCCAAACAAATGATCTGTGCAAAATTTCATCTGGATCGGGCAATAAATGCGACCTGTACTGTGTTTAAAAAAATACATGGACAGACGGACGGACGGACGGACATGCATAAATCGACTCAGAATATGATTCTATGTAGATCATCAAAAGGAACTGTGGGTCTATCTCGTTTCCTTTTGCCTGTTACAAACAAATGCACAAAGACATAATACCCTGACCACCTTGTGGTGTAGGGTATAAACACAAATATGCCTTAGAGCAATGAATGGCATCGTGATCGAGGATGATTTTGAAAATGTTTCGTATATATTTCCAAATGGTCATGGCGTACATGGTGATCCCAACCCTGGCTAATGCTTTTAATCTGCAATCTACGGCTGCTATTGAACTTTTTCCCCTCTTCCCCCTCATCTTTATTTTGCTCGGTGTTATGCACTTTGCAAATTATTCAATTTAAATTTATTTTCTGGTTTTTGCATTTAAATTGTTTGTTTTTTTTTTTTTTGTTATAATTATGCGCATTCCATTATAAAATTTAGTTTAGAATTGTATTTTTTTTTTCGTTATTTATTTTTATTGCCTGCGCTGTTTTTTATTTCATATCAATATCAAGGTTAGAATATAGGTCTCGTGTTATGTGTGTTTTCTGTTATTCTCATCAACAAAGAAAAAATATCATTTTTAAATTTGTGCGAAAAAAGTTAATAATTTATAGCTATTGCATAATTATGCAGGGGGGCAAGAGAAATGATTTTGGCTATAAAAATCCCGTTTTCATGAAATGAAATTTGAATTAATTTATTTCGATAATTCCCGTTAGAAGTTTTGCATATCTGGATGAACTTCAGCATTTACCGTTATAGAAAATCTACACCTCAGCCATTGTAGAATTATGCAGGTATCTTCATAATTAATCGAAACTGGAAGTAAATTGAGCTAATTTAAGCATATATTGGGGTCTTACAACGGCGTGAAAAGTAACTATACGCTGTCGGGGACAAATGACGTCATTCCGAAATAATAATTTTTATACCCTCCACCATAATATGGAGGGTATATTAATTTTGTCATTCCGTTTGTAACTTCTCGAAATACTCATGTCAGACCCAACAAAGTATGTATATATATACTTGATCAGCATAAAATTCTAAGACGATTTAGCTATGTCCGTCTGTCTGCCTGTGTGTCTGTCTGTCTGTCTGTCAGTTGTAATCACGCTATCTTTCGAAAAAATAGAGATAGAAGGCTAAAATTTTGCACACATGTATATTTTGCCAATAGGCAGGTTAAGTTCGTAAATGGGCCATGTAGGTCCAAGTTATCATATAGCCCCCATATAACGGTACCTCCCGATATTCGGTATTTTGATGATTTTAACGACATTATTCACCGGAATTGTTTCAAATTTAGCATTTGAAGTTCGTAATAGATACTACAGCCTAAGACAGAAAATTATCTGTGCAGGTTCAAGTCTTCATATAGCCCCCATATAACGGTACCCCCCGATATTCGGTATTTTGATGATTTTAGCGGCATTATTTAAAGGAATCGTTCCAAATTTCGTATTTGAAGTTCGTAATAGATACTGCAGCATAAAACAGAAAATGGGCCATGTAGGTCCACGTCTTCGTATAGTCCCCATATACCGTACCCCCCGATATTCGGTATTTTGATGATTTTAGCGACATTATTTAACGAAATCGTTCCAAATTTGGTATTTAATGTTCGTAATAGATACTTCAGCCCATGTCGGAAAATTGTCTGTGTAGGTCCAGGTCTTCGTACAGCCCCCATATGACGGTACCCCTCATATTCGGTATTTTGATGATTTTAGCTACATTATAAACAGATTTTTCTTCAAGTTTCGCGTTAAATATTGTAATAACTTATGACAAAACTTGCCTATGAAGGTCCACGTCGTCGTATAAGCATTCGGTATTTTTAAGATTTTAACAGAATTTTTAACGGATTTTTTTTTGGAAATTGCCAAATTTGTACCAAATGGTGGAGGGTATTAAAAGTTCGGCCCGGCCGAACTTACTGCTTTTTTACTTGTTTAGACATAACAAAGTACACATATTCTTGAACAGTGTAAGATTCTAAGACGATTTAGCATTGTCCGCCGTCCGTCCTTCTGTTGTAATCATGCTAAAGTCAAAGCAAATAAAGAGAGGAAGCTAAAATTTTACACAAATCAGTCTTTTGTCAAGTTCGAAGATAGGCTATATCGGTCCACGATATCGTATAGCCCCTATATATTCGGTATTTTGATGATTATTAATCAAATTGTCTGAAAATCCGCAAAAGGCGTTCCTTCTGAGTAATTTACTCCCTAGAAGAGAAATGTCTATGTAGGTCCACGATATCGTATAGCCTACATAGGGACATAGAAGCCTTAACGGGTACTACAGGGTTGTCCATATTCGACGGACCTTTGGGCCCATTCCAATCGACGAGGCTTGTCCGCAGGCAACATTATTTGCGTCAATTGAATTTTGTACGGGAACAAATGCAAATCGAGCCATGCCCAACTGCTGAGAACGGCGTTTTTGGGATGTTCTTGGGGACCTCTCAACACTGGCTCGTACGGCAGCGATATTCTCGGCCGATCGCCTTGGTCGACTTTTATATGGCCTCTTCGGATTAGAAAGAGCCTTACCAGTCGAAAATTTTTCGTATAAACGCTTAATTGTGTTCTTAGAAGGCGCACTTCTCACATTTTTTAATGTTTTAAAAGCACGTTGAGTTTTCACAATTGACTTCTTGTAAATTTCAACTATTTCAGAGCGCTCGCGTGGCGTGTATTGGTTCATGGTAAAAATCTGCTTGGACTGACGCTTCAAACGCGGTATGTCATTAAGCGATGTGACATCTTTGTCAAAAGTTATGGCGTTGCCAGATGGGTCCGTCAAATATGGGCAACCCTGAACAGCCTATGACAAAAAATTGCGTTTGCAGGCCCACGTTTTCGTATGGCCCCCACACAATGATACCACCCTATATTCGGTATTTTAATGATTTTAGCGACATTTTTCACCGGAATTATTTCAAATGTGGTATTTGAAGTTCGCAATGAATACTACAGCCTAAGACAGAAAATTGTCTGTGCAGGTCGACGCCTTTGTCTAGCCCCCATATAACAGTGCCTGCCGATATTCGGTACTTTGATGATTTTAGCTACATTATTTACCGAAAATTGTTTCAAATTTGGTATTTGAAGTTCGTAATGGATACTACAGCCAAGGACAGAAAATTGTCTGTGCAGATTCCCCTCTTCGTATAACCCCCATATAACGATACCTCCAATATTCGTTATTTTGATGATCTTAGCGACATTATTCAGCGGAATTGTTTCAAATGTCGTATTAAGAGTTCGTAATGGGAACTACAGCTTATGACACAAAATTGTCTTTGCAGGTCCACGTCTTCGTATAGGCACCATATATAAGTACCTCCCAATATTCGTTATTTTGACGATTTTAGGTACAATATTCACTGAAATTCTTTGAAATTTCGTATTTGAAAAATTTGACAATTGTCAATGCTGGTCCAGGTCTTCGTATAGGCCCGATATAACGATACCTCCCTATATTAGGTATTCTGATGATTTCAGCTATATTATTCACCGGTATTTTTAAGATTTTAACAGAATTTTTAATAGATTTTATTGTTTTTGAAAATTTCCAAATTCCTTCCAAATGGGTTCAACCCGGCGAAACTTACTGTCCTTACTTTACTTGTGCTTATCTAAAAAGTGAATTTTTCAATGCAGCGTTTTTGTGTGAAATAGGCGAAAAATCGATTTTTCGATCCATTGTTATACCCCATACCACACTGTGGTACAGGGTTTTATGTCTCTGTGTATTTGATAGGAACATGCAGATATGAACAAAATAGACCCACAATTCCTTATGATGATTCATTCATGGAATCACATTTCGAGTCGTACGTCCGCCTGTCCATGTATTTTTGTAAACAAAGCATTTATAGTCCAAGTGAGATGAAATCATTTCTTAGACCCAAGGACGAACCCTATTTTAGTTATAGCTCCTGTATATACTTTTTTAATAGTTCGAAACTAAGAACACATTAATCATTGCATACTTTTTGGCTCGCATGAAACCAAACGCCGAGTAGACGATAGTCGAATAAGGTATTTCTACTTCTTTGTTTAAATATAATTTTCATACGATTTTTGGGTCCATGTTCTACAAGGTCTTCGATTAAATGTTCCACCATACATTCGGTATTATATATTTGTATACTTAATACATATTTTTTCCATAAAATCGTCTCATTCGCTTTATTAGCTAAATATCTATTTTTCAACTCACCTTAACATCACCGAACATTTCCTCCAAATCGTGAGATCCACTGCCCAAGGCCAAATGATAGAGAAAATCCTGATCCATACGTTCAATATTTCGGTTACGTAATTTGATAGTGCCATCGGAATTTCTAAGATAAGAAACATTTTGAAATAAATATTAATATTTGATTGGATAGGGAATTTTTTCAAAAAAAAAACTACAATTCTAAAAAATTTCTAAAATTTATGTTTGACTTGATTTCAATATAATTTCAATATTGAAGATTATTTCATACAAATGTTAAACGCCAAATTTCGGCCGGTATCTTACGAATAAATACTTCAATGTTGTCTTCCAATGCGAGTCAATTGACGTGGTCTCATTTAGACATGAGCTTCAAAACAGTCTAAAGGCTTTAAATCAATTTGTAAAGTTTGACAATTGTTTTTTTTTATCAAATCTTCATACATCGTATTAATTTTTTTATATAATATTCAAGTTTTTTCCCATCTTCGGAAAAATAGGAAATATTATACCATTTATCCCAAAAAGTCTTCATAATCTTTCATTTTGAAGTTTATCGAGGAGGTTATTAGTAGAATCATTGCACAATGAACCATCATCCATGTTTTCTGTCCAAAACTATTTTAAAGTCTCCATATGTAAATCCTCGAAGCCAACAGTGACCTCAATAAATAAATTCAGAATTCCAGCTTCATGTATTCACCCAATAACAAATTTAGTAACATTTATTATGCAGAGGCCCTAGTGACAAATTTCGGAATTTCAGTTCTATCCCTTCACCCAATACCCAATTTAGTACCCCTTAGTACTATTCGAACAATTATAGCACTCATTTCTAATACCAGCTTCACCACAGACACGAACAGTTGCATCAATATAAAATTTCATGAGTTCAGCTCTATTCCAATTCGCCCAATGCCAAATTTAGTACTAATTAGTACAATTTAGTACCCATATCCGAATCTAGGACCTTCTCTCAACCACTGGCACCAACAGTGACATCCATATCAAATTTCGCGATTTCAGTTTTATTCCTTCACCCTCTATCACATTATGTACTATTAAGTACTTTTCGTACAATTTAGTACACATTTCCAAAATCATCGCCATATCTCAATTTCAAATATCAACAAAGATCTCATTAACAAATTTCGGGATTTCAGCTCTATATCGCTATACCCGACACAAAATTTGGTACCATTTAGTACTATGAGCAGAAATATAGGACGCATTTCCAAACCTCTGCCAAATCACAAACACAGATACTATTAGTAATCTAAATATAAATTTTCAGAATTTTATCTCTATCCTTTCAACCAATACCAAATTTAGTACCATTTAGTACTTTTCGTACCATTATAATGCACACTTCCAAAACCACCTCCATATACCCAGGATACACATGAACAGCGACCCTTAATTCCAAATTTAAGATTTCAGGCACTATCTGTTCGCCCTAAACCAAATTATTCCAAATTTCGTACCCTTTAGTAAAGTTCGCACACTTAGTACACATTTCCAAAACCACCTCCATATCTTAACCACAGACACCAACAGTGTCATCTATACAAAATGTAAGGCTTCCAGTCCTATCCCCTCACCCAATACCAGATATAGTACCATTTAGTACTTTTCGTACAATTATAGTACAAATTTCCTAAACCACCTCCATATGTCCAGGCTATATATTAGCAGCGACCCTAATACTACATTTCAGATTTTAGGCACTATCTGTTCACCTAATACCAAATTTCATGAAACATAGTACTATTTAGTACTTTTCGTGTACTTGTATTACACATTTCCAAGACCACATCTTCATCACAGAATAACAGTGATCCCATTACCAAAAAGGTCGGAATTCCGTAAACCAAACTATTCAATTACAGATACAAACAGCAACCTCAATATCAAATTTGAGTATCCCAGCCCTATCCCTTCACCCAATACCACATTTAGTACCATTTAGTACTTTAGGTGCAAATGCAGGACACTTATCCAACCCACCGCCCAATCTTCAAATTGAACTTTTAGAATTTTATCTCTATCCCTGCACTCAATTACATATTTAGTACTATTAAGTACTTTTCGTACAATTATAGTACACGTCTCCGAAACCACCTCCATATTTCCAGGCTGTACATGAACACCGACCCTAATATCAAATTTCAAACATCATCTGTTCATCTAGTAAGTAATTGTACCAAAGTTAGTACTACTTAGTACTTTTCCTATACACATACATAGTACACATCCCTTTGGTTATATATAAGTTGGCAAAGAGGAGGTGTGTAATAACTACAGTTCACATTTAATGGAAAATAACTGAACTTAATCGCAGTAGAATGATTCTGAAAAATTATATAGGTTATATTATTTTAAAATATTTGGAGAGATATTAAAATCACACAGAAATCATTTTTAGGGCATTACAAAAGGATTTTGTCAGTGGAGAATTTGTTGACAAAAGTAGCAAACAATAGCCTATAGAGGCCTAAAAACATTGTAGAGCGTTTGATGTTCTTTTGCCAGAAACACAGATGGAGAGAAGACCTCTCCCGTACTGATAAATATAGCCACGAGTTTCCAAGATACAGAAAATATAAATACATCATTCGATGGTTACCTCTTTGAAATAATTAAAGACCTCAGATCTCTGTGGAAGAAATACATTTCAATGCAATTTCAATCGAGAATTTTGTATGATTACATATTCTCAAGTGTGAAAATATGAAACATACTTTCTTGTACCTCTCCCACAAAAGTATACCATTTCTAAGAACAAGTAAAGAATTAGCTAAGTCCGGCCGGGCAAACTTGTAAAACCTTCCACCATTTAGAAGGAATTGAAAAACACAAAAAAAATCTTCGAAAAATGCCGCTTAAATTGAAACCCGTTATATAATGGCTATACGAAGACGTGGGCCTGCATAAGTCATTTTTGGTCATAGGCTGTAGCACCGATTCCGAACTTCCAATACGACATTTGAAACAATTCCGGTGAATAATATCGCTAATATCATCAAAATGCCGAATATTGGGAGGTATCGCTATATGTGAACTATACCAAGAAGTGGACCTGCTTAGATGAGTTTCCGTCATAGGTTGTAGTATCCATTACGAACTTCAAATACCACATTTGAAAATAATGTCGCTAATATCATCAAAATGCCGAATAAAGGGGGGTACCATTATATGGGGTCTATACGAAAACGTGGACCTGAACAGACGATTTTCTGTCATAGCTTGAAGCACCCATTACGAACTTCAAATACGAAATTTGTAAACAATTCAGTTCTATAATATCCCCACAATCATCAAAATACCGAATATTGAGATGTGCGATTAGCCCCCCATATAATCGAAAACGTGACCCATTTAAGAACTTACAGCCTGTTCCACGATCTCGAAAGAAAATTTGTGCGAACGAAGGCTACTCACTCACTTTCGTATAAGAATGCGTTCCACTATCTTTCGTTCTTTCTTTCGCATAGCCTTACGTGATTCAGTGTTGCTAAATATTTTTTTGGAAAAATTAATCGCGAAATAAAGCAAAAAAAGCGTCAAATGTCTAATTTAAACGCGAAAAAGCAGCAGTGGCTCTGTCTCAACTGACATTTCAGTTGTAAACAAACAAATTGTAAATAAACAAACGAAATAAAATTTCTAGTGATTGTGTTCAAACTATTTGTGCTCTTAGAAAATAAAAAAAAGAATATTTCCGTAGCTCTATTTTTTATGGAGGAGGTTCGAAATGTGCCACGGAGGAATTTAAGAGATGCTTCGAATTTATTTGAAGTACCTAACAACCAGTAAGTATGATTGTATTTTTACATTTTTGAAATAATAAAAAATGATTTTTTCTAGGTTTGTGGCCAACTTTCGTGTGTCGAAGGAAGTTTTCGGGCTCTTTTGTATATGATGGAAGAGAAGTGGGTGCCCGGTTGCAGAACTACCCAAATCCGCCCCGATTTAAAACTTCTTCTGCTGCTTCCAAAAATTGGCATTCCTCTGGCGAACACAGGATTCTCCTCCATTTACTCAACTAGTGCCCGCAGCTGTGTAGTTGATGATTTTTTCGTGCTGGAATTGAGAAAATAAAAAATATATATATTTGTTGTTCACATATTAAATTGCATTTATTATTTTTACTTACATTTTTGTTTCCATTTTCAATCAAGCAATGTTTATGTTAAAACAATTTTCCTTAATTGTTATTATACGATAGCAAACACACAAGTGACTGATTTTGACATTTGTGTTCGCATGCGTACGAAAGAAAAAAGATAGTGGAACGCAAAATTACACTGAAATGCTTACGTTTTCGTTCGCTTTGATTTTCGTGCAAATTTTCGTTCTGATAGATTTTAGTGGAACGGAAATCAGCTGTTTGTCGTGTAAAAGTTGTGCGAACGTGTTCTTTCGATATCGTGGAACTGGCTGTTAATTTGCTTACAGACAAAATACACATGTTTGCAGAATGTTAGCCTTCCATCTCAATTCATACGAAAGAAAGCGAAAGAAAGACAGACACACAGACAGACGGACATCGACAAATCGACTTGAAATTTTACGCTTATTAAGAATAATATATATACTTTGTTGGGTCTGACTTCAGTATTTCGAGGAGTTACAAATGGAATGACAAAATTAATATAACCTCCATAGTATGGTGGAGGGTATAACAATTAGGGAATGATTTTTTTTTTTTTGCAAATAGAGATTTTTATTTCGTTGGTGACTTATAGTGACATTTTGTGAAGAATATTTCCCATCACCAAAATTTCAAAATTCCAGCTTCAACCGTTCACTCTAAAGCAAAGTGTTCCATATTTAGTACCATTTAGTACACTTTCCACCCTTGATTCTCATACAAATTTTTCAAGTACCATTTTAGAAGTTTTGTACTATTTTAGAACTTTTCGTAGCCCTAAAGTTCGAATCTTTTTTTCTATTTTTTGTTATATATTTTTAAAGGCTTTTTTAGGAATTCTTTGCAAAGGGATTATTGTCGATATCTTCAAATATTTCTCCAAGACTTTCAAGAATATTTTTTTCGAGACGTACTAGCCAAATATTCGCGATATTAAAAAAAAAAATTCTTAAGGGACGTCAGCTTCTACA